ATTTTTACCATGAAGTCTGCTCTCTGGAAGCAACTTTATATTTAAAGACAATATAAATTATTGCATGTAGTTATGCCATTATATCAACATATCAGTGGTGTAAGTTATATTCACTGGTATCAGGGACTGTACCATATACACGAGAAGACTCTTATTCACTTCATTAATTTCAAGCATCTCATTGTAAGCAATCTTTTTTTTCAAAAACACTCGTGCATGCCCCTGCTTGGCCTGTTTGTGCTGTTGGCAAACTGATATACTTAATCACACTGAGAGAAATTTTAAAAATTAGATGTTATTGTTAAGAAATAAAAATGATACACTGCTTTTATGAGGTTATAGCTGAATAAATGCAGAAAATGGGCCATTTTAGCTCATTGCTAGGTGGTTGCTAGGTAACAAGATGATGTCAGAACTTCTGATATAGATAAGAACCCTCAGGGGCCTAAGATGTACCCGTGTGCCAAGGAGAAAACAACAACTCAATAAATAAATACATGAATAGATAAAATACATCAACAATCAAAAGTACAGCATGAGAATCAAAGGAGGTAACTGCAGTGGACAGTTTTCATATTTTCCATGGATGGCTACATTCATAGGATGATTCTCGTCCGAGGTCTGCTGCCACTCATTTGTATCGGTTCTATTTACACTTATCTTTTATCCTTTAATATACATTACTGCGCAGTTATTGTACAGCCATATCTGAGTTTGCATGTTTTTTAAATAATTGTAATCTAAAGTTAAACTGCGTCCATATCGCTGTTGAAAATGAAACTCCTCTTGCATTCCTGCAATGTTCTCACATGCAGGAATACACAGCTTTGCTAAATGAACTCTTGTTTATATTGTGTTTTTTCCTTTCCTGCAGCCGTCTAAATAATTAGCTTTTGTTGTAGAAAATGATGAATTTGGGCAGTTAATTTATTGATCGTCCGGCTCCTTTCGATGTGCTTTGCTTTAGAAAGTCATTAATCAATGGATGAAAACACCTAATTCTACTCCTGCTCTGTTTCCCCCCCTTTTCTTTTCTTTCTTTATGCATTCTGTCTGGAATGGAAAATCCCCCACGGCATTATGGAGACGAATCAAAACTATGAACTAAAAATGCTGGTGATGGAGAAGAAATATAAGAAATGTACATTTAGAATAAAAAGCACCATGAATTCATCATTTATATCTGCTGGTTAGGGAACATTTGCTTCAATGTTACATTTGTAATGATAAAAACAAACACCACAGCTTCAGTTCAGCTTAAAGTGGGAGTCATGCTGATGTTAAAAAAGACCTTTATATAAAATATTATGAATTTGTTCCAGTGAATGGTGTTACAATATCATAACTGGATGAAAATAAATGCTAAAAATTCATTTTCAAAGATGAAATTAAACAGTTGACAATGACAATAACAAGTGTTAGTAGGAATAATATTCACATTTACCATTATTTTGTGTGAGTTTTTTTTAAACGTTTTTCTCATTTAACACCACAAACGACCTCAGTATAACAACCAAAACATGACAGAAGCGGTGTGTTATTTATGTGCAATCTTCTAATCTCACATTGAAATACCTCCACTATCTTATCATGGGTAATGTTTATGAACAAGTTAAAACAATATATTGTCAGTCAACAGTCTGTACACACAAGAGGGCAAAAAACTATGATGAACAAATGCACAAAGTGTAGCTTTTTGACTATTGTACACAGCGAGCACAGTGAAGAGGAAGCCAGCATTTAAATGTAAAATGTTATGATAAATTACAAATTCTTACAATAATTCATAACAGAACATAAGGAACATGAGAAAAAAATAGTAAAGTGAACTTTCAGATCATCTCTGACGTCTTTAAAGGTGCATTTGGGGCTTCGTTTTCCTCACACTGGGCTCTTTTTGTCCCAGACAATTATTTAGTGGCGAAGTAAGCTAGGACCAAAATAAACATATTTGGTAGAGGGCGCAATTTCCTGCTCAGTGTACCAAAGGAAGTTCAGCTCATAGACTGAAGAACTCAGCTGATGTTGTTTTGTGGCTGCAGTTATTTACTTTTATATAGATAAGAATGAAAACTGAATGAAAAGAATTTCTCGTCTATGCAACTATGAGGTGTTGTAATTCTCCAACAGGAATGTGGAGTTTTAATTTTATATATTTGTGCATTGTTATTGTTGTATAAAATAAAAACAAATCTGAGACAAGTGCTAGCATTGTAAAATGTAGTTTATTAACATTGAACAAATTAATCTGTAAGTGTAAAACTAATATTAACTATTATAATCATGAAATTTTTGGCCAGCAGTTAAACTCAAAATGTAAAATGCACCAAATATTTTTTGTTCACTAGTATAGTTGTATAGTTTTTGCCAGGAGCAGGAAGTCTAAAAAGTCACTGAAATGTAAACAATAATGCTCAGGTTGTTTTTTCCCAGCTTTATGGATTTCTTCGTTTTATTAAAACTCAGCACTAAAAATTCATCGGTATTGTTCATTTGGATGCAAGAAAAAGAAAAGCCTTAGATCTAAAAGGAAGTGTCATGCCAGCGATTTGACTCTTCAGCAGTGACTAACAGCTAATTCCTTAGAACAAGACACACAAATCACTGAAAAAGGAAGTAAAGAAGTGGGATTGGGCTGCAGTGCTGCTGGCTTCACTGTTAAAACAATATTCCTTTTTCATCAAATTGAACAACCATACAAGGACATTTTGACTGATGTTGTGATTAAAATTGCCTTTTTGAGTCCACGTTAAAAAAAAAACCAATCTCCTAACAATAAGGACCTACCTCCTTGGAGGTGAAAAATTACATGTAAGAAGACCCTAGATTTGAACTACCAACCCTGTGCTTTTCTGCGGGCTACTGTCGACCCTGAACTTGTGCTTCAGCCAATCAGACGGGCTGTTGCCGCTCCACATTCCTCCATGCTGAAAAAGTCGCTTTAAGCCGACAAGAGTTCATTTTCAGACGCTTATGTTTGTGTTTTTGTTCGTTATCAATCCACCAGAGGTCTCGAGGATGACAAATGGGTCCTGTCAGGGCGACGCCAGTCATAACAACACACACTCATACTGACACACACACACACACATTTACATTTTCAGGCATTTAGCTGATTCTTAGCTGTTCTTATCCACAGCAGCTTACAATGACTGATGTACACACACATACTGTATGCTTTACGTGTGTAGGTGTAGGTGTGTGTGTGTGTGCGTGCATGTGCGTGTTTGTGAAGCAGACGGGTGGGAAAGCTTGGGGTCATGGATAACAAGTCAGACCCAAAACACAATGAGCTCGGCTGTAATCTGTCTTATCTTCACTGGTACACACGTGCGCACACACACGCACATACATACACATACACACATACATACATTACACAGACACACAGTGGATGAAAGCTGAGCGATTTGAACTGGCAGAATGACCACCTATAAGATCAGAAATAAAAATAAATATCAGAAAAACAAGATTTTAGATTGTTGAAAGTTCTTCGGTGGATGAATGAGGAGAATGAAAAATAACTGACAAGAAGCTCAAAAACTATACGAATTTTAAAAAAAAAATCTTTCCTGAGAAGAGACCTCTTGTGGTTATGGATGTGATTGCTTGTCTACATAGAGAATCCAGGTTGTAGACATAGCCTCCATTGCTGCAGTGAAACCTCATTAGTAGCAGATTTGTTAAAAGCATAAGTCTGCTGATGTCTGCATACACAAAAAATCAGAAATTCACTTTCACTACTGATGTTCATAATCTAGCTAGAACCCCATAGAGTTGAAACAGAAAGTCTGAACTTCTTCCACAAAGAGTGATGTAGTTGCTGTAGAATGGCAGTTTGCCTCCCACCAGGTGACCTGTGTAATCATGTTGCGGTCCCCCAGAGGCTGAGCATGCAGCACCTTTCACCTCTGGGGTACTAGTTGGTCGCCGACACTACTTGCAAAAAAAGAATAAATCCAGTCACCAGAAAGTTATTTTTTCCTATTTGCAAAGATGTTGCTCAAAGATGTTTACTTTAGCATGACTTAGTCATTATCTGTACTGTTTTTGGAAAAAACTATAAATCTTTTGTGATTCTGTACATCAAGAACAATCTGCTGGGCAATGAGTAGGAAGTGGAATGATTCTGCTCTGTCAGCTTTGAGTGACATTAGTGAACAAACAGCATTTCTATATTAGGGTTACGGGGTGTTATGACCTCCAGGAGTAACAAAGTATATGTACTGAACTGATATTTGAAAAACTTTCAGTTACCTCTGGTTGATGAACCAAACTGCACTGATTTAAAGAAAAACTGCTTAGTTGTACAAATGGTAAATGGCCTGCATTTGTATAGCGCTTTTCTAGTCCCTAAGGACCCCAAAGCGCCTCACACTACATTCAGTCATTCACCCATTGGTGCTGGCAGCTACATTGTAGCCACAGCTGCCCTGGGGCGCACTGACAGAGGCGAGGCTGCCGGACACTGGCGCCACCGGGCCCTCTGACCACCACCAGTAGGCAAACGTGGGGTTAGTATCTTGCCCAAGGATATTTGGCATGCAGCCAGGCTGCAGCCTGGGATCGAACCACCGACCTTCTGATTAGTGGCTGACCTGCTCTGCCACCTGAGCTACAGCCACCCAAACTCAAAGTTTTAGCACACAAAGGTGCGCTAAACTGATTTACTACAAATCACCAGCAACCTTTGATAGACACATGAGAGAGGTTTGCATGTAGCCAGTGCTGCTTTCACCATATTGGCATTTGTTCATAGTGTCAATAAAGATCATTTGAATGAAGTAAAAAGAGTCCAGTCTGAAGCAAAGCACTGTAAAGAAGACTTGAAAGACATAAAAGGGGGGAAAGGAGGGAGATAGTAAAAACTCAGTGTTTGGAGAAAAGGGAGGATGGAGAAAAGAGAAGTGAGAGAGAAAGGATACGTGTGAATTTGAGGGAGAAAGAGAGAGAGAGACTATGGAGAAAAGCGGAGAGAGAGGAGGAGAGAGGATAAGTGAATGGAAGTGGAGAGAGAGGGGGTGGGAGAGAGAGACTCGTGTAGAACACTCTCCTGTAGTTCTGGCTCCGGAGACGCGCTGGACGCAGCGGACTGTCCCGGCTCCTCTCGATGGTTCACCGCAGCCCGGAGGAGGGACAAACCTTCCACCGCTGCCCGGAAATCGGTGCCCAGGAGCCGCACACACTCTGATAACTGTAAGGCTTTGCTGCTTTGCCAACTTTCACGTTATAAAAAGAAAGGGAAAACATCAAAGGGAACTCCAAGCAAAACCTATCGGAGCCTCTCCGCGTCTCTGCCCGCCGAGCGCTGCCTCTGCTTGGACTTGATCAGCACGCGAGATCGCCGAGATTCCAGGGACTTATCCGGATCATCTGCTCACTTATTCAGATGAAACTATTCACCACGAACTGGTTTACACTGTAAACTACTCGGAAGTGTGAACGTGAGTGCGTTAACGGCTTTTGTTGGCTTTTCTAACGCGTTTTTTTGCGCTCGGTGTGCGTAAAATCCGCGCTAAAACAAACCATCCGAAAACAGAGACAGCGGAGCAGAGGAAGGAGGCAGAAGTCAGTTTATATTTGGTGTTTTATTGGTGTTCGAAGTTTATGTTCCAAACTGAATGCTTTTATTTGGTTGGTGAGACTTAATTCGTCACGAGTTTTAAAAAGAACGTAGAAGAAAAAAAAAATGCAAATAGAGGCAAACAATTCAGTTATAAGATCATTTTTATTTTAAGTCATACAGAAGATTCTTTTATTTGTACATCGTTTACGTCTGCTTATTTCAGTGGATGTAATTGTTTCCTCTTTTTAATATTCGCCAATATTCACCACTATAAAAACTCTTTCTACTTTCTAATAATGTCTTCTTAAGATGTGTAGAATCGTACCTCATTCTTACCATTGGAATTTAGATCTGCAGATTTTCTTTTCTTTTTTTTAAACAAAAAACACACCAGTGTGGACATCCACCTTTGAAATTCCTCTGTGAAAGAATTCAGGTTGAACCAGTGGAGTATTTAAGACTGAACAAACTCAGCATGATCACCAAAAACATCTGAAGCATGACCCTCTCACTCTTTTTTAATTATAAACACGGATATAAATTTAAATTTGGAATTTTGTATCGGATTTTATCCTTTTTAGCTTGTTTGAAGCCTAAAAACACATTAGGGTGACTGAAAGGAGAGCAGAAGCCAGACTGTGAAACATATTTATTTGAGATTTGGTTTGCAGTCAAAGTTGTAGAAAAGTGAAACACCTGCTTTGTAAATTTATAGATAAAAAAAACTCAGACTACATGTAATGTTGATAAATTGTCATTTTAAACTTTATACCTAAAACATTTCAATGCAATTTGCACCATTTTACATTTACAATTTTTACAAAACGCAAGAAAAAGGAAAAAAAGTTAAGGGAAAAAACCAACCTTTTTGATCAGCAGGCTGATGTTTAGTGTGCTCACAAATTTAACACAAATGTAATTTTGGATGAATCCTCAGAAAATAAATTGTTTGAAACAAAATGCTTTCTGGTAAAAAAAAAAAAAGTGTGAATCAGGTGTGATCTGTTGTAGATTTTGAAATGAGCAATGACACTGAATTCTGCAGAAAAAAAATCAAGCAAACACATTGGTCATCAGTTGAGTTCTGGAGTCGAGCTCTCTCTTAAGTCCCTGAAAACTGATTTATGTAAAAACGCAGTAACTTAAAGCACTGATTT